TGCAAACCTGGTCAAGACCTACAGGAAACGTATGATCACTGTAATTGCAAACAAAGGTTTCTGTACCAAATATTAAGTTCTGCTTTTCTCATGCAATAAAATGCAAATTAATTACTTAAATCATACAATGTGATTTTCTGGATTTTTGTTTTAGATTCCGTCTCTCACAGTTGAAGTGTACCTATGATAAAAAATTACAGACCTCTACATGCTTTGTAAGTAGGAAAACCTGCAAAATCGGCAGTGTATCAAATACTTGTTCTCCCCACTGTATACAAAAGTATGTCACCTTCAGGAACTCTGAGTGAATCTGCACGTCCTCCTCCCACACCTGACGCCTCTTCTCAAACACATACTGTTGTTAGCAGTTGATGTTATTCTTCAATAACACAGAACCTGCTTTGTAAGTAGAAAAACCTGCAAAATCGGCAGTGTATCAATTACTTGTTCTCCCCACTGTAAGTGTTTGCAGGTGTGTCTCTGCTCTACACAGCACAGATGTGAGGGAGTGTGTTAGTCCCTTCCATGAGAAACCTGATACGGTCTACTACTGCTGCTATGAAGTTGACCGCCTCTCTCTCTGCCTGCGAAACACTGAAGAAGGGATTGGGGAAGGAGAAAGGGAGGGTCTTAACTGGATGAGAGAGAGAGACTTGGGAGTGGGGGAGCAAAACACATACTTTGAGGAGTGGGTAGTCGCTTTTTAGCAGCGAAAGGCTACTACAGTATACAGAAGTGATTTTCCTCATCTTGGATCAAACCCAAGTGGTCAATGGAACATCGCCAGGTAATGTCAACTATAGTCCCACAAAGTTCAAATAGAGTAAGTTTGAAAATGTGAACGTTACTCAGTCATCACTGTAATTTACCGGATGTAGAAAAATATAAAGTATTTTTAATATTTTAAGGTAGCTGGCAACATTAATTAGAACAAACAGGTAACTGCTAAAATAAAAGAAACACCAACATAAAGTATATTATTAGGGCGTTGGGCCACCACGAGCAGCTCCATTGTGCCTTGGCATAGATTCTACAAGTGTCTGGAACCCTTTTGGAGGAATGCAACACCATTCCATCACAAGAAATCCATCATTCTGTGTTTTGTTGATGGTGGTGGAAAATGCTGTCTCATGTGCCACTCCAGAATTTCCCATAGGTTTTCAATTTGGTTGAGATCTGGTGACTGAGACACACACCCTAAAAAAATACTATGTATATGCCATTATAAATGCTTAATGCTTCATAAAATATTATAAATGTTATAAATGCTAATGACTTATAATGCTTGAATGCCTACTTAAATAGTTATCTAATGAATTAATACTTTTGCGTGAAAGTTATAAAGTGGTACCCATTCATTCAACGGGGTCAATAACAATAATACTGTAATTTAATGGAGCTTATAACCACCATATAACCAGTAGATCAGGGAAATAAAATACTGTTTTAAAACAGAACATGACAGTTATGAGTGTTGTTTAGTGTCATTTATAGAGCTTCCTTACCTGAGGATAGGTGACCCTAGGGTGTTTGTGTACAAGTCATACAACTAGAGAGAAGCAGAGATGACAGGACACACTCACCATCAAGATGGAGGCAGCATCAAATACAGACATTCAGTTTGACACTTCCTCCGTCATACCAAGTAGAAATGTATATATAATTTTTTACCATTTAACATTACATTTCCCTTCATTCAAAGACATACAGAACAAATTAATATTCTACCACACAGGCCTATTTTGCATGTTGTGAGACTGACTAATCCAAGTGAACATGCAACTGCCTGTTATATTATTTCATAGGGCCAGAGAGAGAGGTGGTACTGGACATTTGCATAGCACAATAGATACTTTCCATAATTCTAATTTCCATGTCTAAACTCAGGCGTATGAAAGGCATCTTACTGTAGAAAACAGAATGGAGCTTACCATCGAGAGCTGAAATGTTTCTCAGACAGTGTTTCTCCTATACATCCCTGGGATGTTCCCTCAGATGGTTAGCTGGCACTGATCTGTTTTTGGTTCTCAAAGTCTAGTTTTAATTTAAGCTCTATTTTAAATACATCTTAATAGCAGAGTAGCTTACCACTTCCTGGCAAAGATAAACACTGATCTATCCTCTTGATGTGAGCCACTACCTCCATTCTGAAGTTCACCACCCCATGGCGTCTGTTAATCAGCCTATCGCTCTACCTGAGCCTCAAAACACAGGCCCTGTCCAGAAACAATCCCCCTTGCCCAATGACAACTTTCACCTGTGATAAAAAATTCAAGTGAAAGTTAACCCATAAGAACATATTCAGGATCTGTGTATGTTCACCCAATCCCAACATGAACCATTAGGGGTTTAAACCCAAAACTGACAGATCAATGTCTAGGAGTTTCATTGCATGCAATTTGGTATGACGTGGCTGATCTCTGGGTTGGCTTGTTCTTAAGAAAGATGGCAGCACTGTCTGGTCTGCATCTTACCAGAGGAAAAGCATAAACACAGGTGTACAAAACATTAGGAACACCTGCTCTTTCCATGACAGACTGACCAGGTGAAAGCTATGATCCTTTATTGATGTCACCTGTTAAATCCAATTCAATCAGTGTAGATGAAGGGGAGGAGACAGGTTAAAGAAGGATTTTCAAGCCTTGAGACAATTGAGACATGGATTGTGTATGTGTGCCATTCAGAGGGTGAATGGGCAAGACAAAATATTTAAGTGCCTTTGAACGGGGTATGGTAGTAGGTGCCAGGCGCACCGGTTTGTGGGAAGCATTGGAGTCTATGGGCCAGCATCCCTGTGGAATGCATTAGACACCTTGTAGAGTCCATGCCCCGACGAATTGAGGCTGTTCTGAGGGCAAAAGGGGGTGCAACTCAATATTAGGAAGGTGTTCCTAATGTTTTGTACACTCAGTATAAAATTGATAAAGATACATGTGTACAAGGGAGTATGAATGACACGTTTTGACATTTCATCAAGAGCCTCCCAAGACTCTCTTTAGCTGAGATGTCAACGATAACGTCTGCTTTATATTCCTAATCTTTTTTCATCTGTACTAAATGTACAGCCCAAAGGCTTGATGATGCTATGCAGTCTGTTTCAGCATAATGGGAATCATATGCTTGGCAAAGGAGAGCTTCAGCCAATACTCAAACACACCCATCTCTGATCCGTGGAAATCAGGAAATGTCAGTCGTCATTATCAAGCCTACTCATTATCTCCCACATCACAGCTGCTACAACCCCAAAATGGATCAACTGTCTTCCGGTAAAGATGTGATATTTTAGAATGGAAATTGCATTCTAGTCTTGGAGCATTCCATGATAACATAGATGACACTTTTTCCCCAAAGTCTGTCGGTCTATCTTCAGAGGCCTCAGCCACTATCAAAAACACCTATTCTCCCACCAAAAGCCAGCAGGTAACTCTGGGGCAAATCCTAACTTCCCATTGACATCAATGGTCCCGTGTAGCTCAGTTGGTAGAGCATGGCGTTTGCAACGCCAGGGTTGTGGGTTCGATTCCCACGGGGGGGCCAGTATAAAAATGTATGCACTAACTGTAAGTCGCTCTGGATAAGAGCGTCTGCTAAATGACTAAAATGTAAATGCATGACTAAGTGAAAATGTGACTTAAGCGGAAGTTAGTATTTGCCCCTAATAACAGACAGAGCAAGTGAAGAGCCTCAGTCAACTGCGCTTAAGTGAAAATTCATCTTTATTGATACCCTAACACAAATCTTCAATGGCAGAAACTAGTCAAAATAGAATATACTGTATATCAACACACCCCTAAGATATGAGCCGGGAACAGGTATGGGTACTTCACACCACTCAGACTCAAATCACACCCTACTTCTTATATAGTACACCACTTCTGACCAGCGCAATAGGTGGTGGTGCCCTATTTAGGGGAAAAGGGTGTGATTTTGAGACGTGCCCTCAGTTTCTATTCTGTCACTCTGCAGAAGTGCTGGACCAGAACAGAGGAGAGGGATGTTAGAGAACATGATTGGATAGTCAAACATTATACAGTTAATTCTGGTGATGTCTGGGTGGATTTAGAGAGTTTGGGAGTTATGAAAGAGAGGGTTGATCCTGTGGACTTGTTGTGGGCTGCTCAACTTGTCATGGAGCTCAGGAGAGACTCCTGGTGGTGAAACTAAGTATCTCCACCAACTATGTACAAACAAACCAGAGGATTCATTCATCACTGTATTGACTTGACTGAAAATCATGTGAAGGTAACTATGAGAAACATATGCTACACCATGTGAAATGAATGCCTTTTTTACACTTTTCATGCATCAATGTTGATAGTGACATTGGTGTGAGTTATTGACAAGGTAAAGTATAGTTTAGATGACAGCCCACCAACATCTACAAAATGACATTGGAGGCAAAGACATAGATATTGTACATGAGCTTGTGAACTTAAGCCAGAGACTCCATTGACATAGAAAAATAAATAAATTGTATGTTGAACCCAAATTCATAACCAAGCTCTCGTGAATCGTGGTTGTACCGGTGAATGTATTTTCCAAACTGCTAAAAAAAGTATTGTTTTTTGTATCTTTACTTTAGAGAGATGCCTTAGGGTGTTGATCTAAGGAAGAATACATAGAATTACAATTATACAGAAACTACCTTTAAATATACAATCACAAAGACACAAAACATAAGAGGGGAAAAAAGCCCACAAAATGATTCTTAATACAACCCAATAGCATGTTGGGGATCGATATTTAAAAGGATCTTGCAAAGTAGCTTCTTGGTCTGTAGCTTTCAAAAATGGTGATACATTTTTTGGGAAAACAATACAAAATGTTTCTCTTATCTTACAATGCCTTGTCAAAATTGTCTTAATGTTTCAAGTAGCAAATCGGAGAGAAACAAACATTGTCTGTACTGTCTGAGGTGTGGACGCAAGGTCCTGAGCAGATAAGTAGAGAGACAGAGGATAGGGTGCCACTTGGGATGCATCCTATCCTCTAAGTGCACTACTTTTGACCATAGCCCTATGGGTTCACTATATAGGGAATAGGTGCCATTAAAGACGCAGCCTTGAACACTAAAGAGGTGGCCTTTCCCTTCAGATCAGAATCACTGGGCTTCGTTATAACCATGTCTGACACTGACGGGCTATATACCGTATCCGACATAGACAACACAATATTACATAGAAGTAGTAATCAATCACAATAATACAAATGATCTAACAGTAATATTTATACAGTTATATACCGTTGATTCTCCTCTCCAGTCACAGGTTTATGATGCTTTACAATTTCTTCATATAAGCCATAATAAAAAGAACAAAACACCATCAATTCATAAGAAAAATAGATTGAAGTTAGTGGAAAAAAGTGCAAAGAATATTCTGGGGTTTTTTTGTACTTTTTTTGCTTGTCTGTTTCATTTTTAGAAATTGATATAAAAATAAAAAATTGAAATCAAATTGAAAACATAGAAAATTAAAACCCACTTCTGTATGGCCAGGCGCTCTGGTCCAGGTGGGGGAGTAGGACCTCTCTCCAGTACCTCTGTCTGTGTGTGTGTGTGGTGTGTTTAAGGTTTAGCGTAGTGGTTCTCAACTCCGGTCCTCAAGCTCCGGCAGTGTACAGGTTTTTGTTCCAACCAGGTCCTACAAAACAAATAATTTAGTTTTTAAAAACTGAACGTTGGATTTATGCTGTAGTGCACACAATACTTTTATTCTGCAAAATCTAAGAGATAATAAATAAAGCTAGGTATTCCTTCCCTGTGAGGTGAGCACAACAGAAACAGAGGTACGTTGTCAAGGCAACACACCCAGAGACCCGAGGTTGGAACAAGAACCCGCCAATATGGCCGTCAGCAAAATGACCGCCACGGCTAGCACTGTGATCATAAAAGGCAGAATCCAGCTCTGACTCAAACACTCTGACCAGTAAGCACACGCCCACACACTAACAGAGCAGTCAGGCCTAGCGCTGATAAGCGAGGTGAGCCAGGAGGAGAAGAGGGCCGGGGTTGAACACCACTGAGCATGTGCGAAAGAGAGCGTGAGTGGGATTCATTCTGCAGATAAATGAGTAGCGAATCTGGGTGGTGAGTTAGGGTTTATGGTTGTGGCTCTACTGTGAGGACTGGGAGTCGTTGTTCTTGCTGTCCTGGCTGTTGGGGGTCTTGTTGTTCCAGGGGGAGTTTGCGCCCCCCAGGGCGGGGGAGCTGCCGAAACTGTCCTCGTCCTCCAGGCCCCCCCCTCCGTTGGCTGTGTCGAACTGGCCATTCTCCAGCCGCGTGATCAGACGCTCATCCTCGTCTCCAAACTCCCCTCCCATCAGAGTGGGCTCGCCCACCATCATCACGTCCTAGAGAGGGACAGCAAGGGCCGGAACATTATCCCCACAACCACGGGGGAGAACCGAGCATAGACGATCCCAAAGGACTTAGAAAATGGGATGGATGGGGCTGGGACTACCGTGGTTACTCGTAATGGTTAGTTCTGGGCTAGATGAGACTTATGGGATATAAAGTGTTTTTATGATTAATATTTTACATATCCTTTGGGTCCTTGAAGGCCTAAAATGATATGGACATTTAAAATAAAGCTTATTGGGACCTCTGAAAATATAAGAATAATTAATGTTTCAGAGTCTGTGATATTCAGTGACTGTGTCCATCCATGCTCACCCCACTTACAATCAGACATAGCTCTGGGTTTCAGGCACCCAGGCCAAATATTCAACATCTACAACAGGCCCAATGCCAGCCTCTGTTCCAGGGATTTGGGTAATATCACCCTTCCCTGTTGGTCAGCGGTGGGCAGCCCTAATCCTTGAGTGCTGCATCATGGGGGTTTTCATTCCACCTCGGGTCTCATTGGCTCACTCAACCAACCAATAGCTGCTGAGCTGCCTGTGAATTCTATGTTTTGATAGGCTCAGTGGTAGAAGCGGCTTTTAAGGTTGTAGGACGATAAAGCAGATTGAGCGGCACGTCTCACCCGCTCCAGGTAGACATTACCCCTAACCACAATCTAGGATCAGATTGGCATATCTCCACTCCTAACTTGAATAGTTAGAGGGGTGATATTGTATCTGATCCTGAGCCAGTGGTAAGGGGTAATGTCTACCTACTGAATGAGTGTGCGACCCGTAGGCCTGCGGCCCCAGAGGACCAGGTACTGCCCAGCACTGGCTCACGTCAGACAGGGAGTCTTTGGCAACATAATATACACTTCTACTATCCCCCAATACCCGTAGCCTACTTTCCCCAATCTGATTAAGACCAAATGCCCCACCTCCACCCTTCCTCATCTCAACCCCTATCCTGCGTTCCCCTATCCCCAACAACCCTGCCTTGAAAGCAAATCCTTATCATACCAGCCCCCGTCCCAATCTTTCCTGGCCCCACACTCCCCCATGTTACCTGTCCCAACCCCACCCCTACTCCCTGTCACGCTCTCCCCACCCCACCTCCAAACCCCTATCGCTCCCCGCTCCCCACACCACAAGGTCATGTAGATGGGATGCTTACAGGTACCTGTGTGGAGAGGGGGAAGTTGTTAGCAGGACTCTTCTTCTTGCTGTTGTTGTTGTTGTTGTTTCCTCCTCCAGCGCTCATGTTGCTGCCGCCAGACATCTTCCTTTTCCTCCGCTTGTTGGGCGCTTGTCTGGCCGGCTCAGCTGGATATAAAGACAGGAGGAGAGGTGGTACTGAGATCTGCAGTGTGTGTGTGTCTGACCGGGTTCAAATCCATTTCACCGACACGCCACAAGACAGTGTAAGGCTGCTGAGTTACAGGCTTCAGGTTTTGAGCAGGTTCCTCATCACCCAAGTTTGGTTCACCATATAAGTGTGTTGTCTGTATACAGAGAGTGTGATGACCGTGTGTTTACCTGGTGGGGCCACCATGCGTTGCCACTTCTGGAAGAGACAGGTCTTGAGACAGTCTCTGGGACTCAGACTGTAGGTCTTGTGTCTGGACATCAACTCCTGCATCGGCTCCAAGATCACACACAACTAGAGGAGAGAGAAGAACATTGACAGTCAGACCACCAATACTGCTTCAGCACCTCTAATAGTATGCCAGCTCGGTAGGAACTACGGTATGGCCAAAATAACGTGAGTACAACCGCCTTTTTCATTCTATTTCAAACACTAAATGGGCATGACTTACCCTAAGGTAGTTGAGTGTGGAGTTGGACAGGCCACATCTTGTGATGTTTTTGGCCAGCTGGTCCAGCATCTGAGGGTCCTGCACCTTGGAAGAGGGGGAGGAGAGCAGGGAAGCAATGACTGAATGGTGGTCAGTAACACTGGCAATCAATCTAACTGTGTGTGACCTTTTAATTGTGAATGATCATTGAAATGTAAATGAATCCTTCTGGACTGTAATGTGATTTGTGGATTCAAATAAAGTATTTAAAAAGGTGTGACTCACGTGCATCGCTAGTATGCTACGAGGCAGGACCTCTCTGTGTTGTCTGATGCTAAAGTGCCAAGTCTTGATCCTCATCATGTCGTCAAACATGAACTCTAGGTACAAACGACCCTCCACACACACCTAGAGGAGGGGAGAGAAGTTAGGTCAAACATCTAAAGGACGGGAGAGGAAAAAATATAGTATTTGTGTGTGTGTGTTGCGGGGGGACTGAAATGTGTGTTTGGATTTGTTGAGTAGTGGAATTATAAATGGGATATTTGAGGATTTGGAAATGCATAATGCAATGTGTATTTGCAATGGAGAGTTAAATGTGTGCTTGCAAATGGAAAATACAATGTGTATTTGCAAATGGAGAATGAAATGTGTATTTGCAAATGGAGAATGAAATGTGAATTTGCAAATGGACAACGGTATCTGTATGTTCAAATGGACCAGAAAGTGTATTTGCGTACCTGTGTGAACATGGGCTTGCCGTTCTGTGTAACCATGGTGCACTGGTCACAGTCTAGAGACACAAAGTTACTGTGGAAAGACTCTTTAGGGTGCTTCAATGTGTAGAACAGCTCAGTGGCGCCCCCTTCAAAAATACTCCGGAAGTACCGCGGGATCAACGTCCGGCCGATAGCTAGGGAGAGTAATAATTTAATGCCATTCCTTTGTATAAAATACTACGGAAGAGTATTAGGGCCAAGCGAAGAGGGGGAAAAATGGTACTTAAAATAAGTATTTTTGCATGGATAAAATCTCAATGTTGATAATAAAGTCAAAATATTTAGAACTCGAAATTTCATTGAGAATAAACTCAATTGTGAGAATAAAGTCGCATTTCAAGATTAAAATAGGGTATTTGGTTAATTGCATGCCTCCCTGTTGCTGTGCACTACCGTTGAAATGCCTGAGTTAGATGACCTGGTTAAACCAATGATTTATACAGGTTTGGACACACCTACTCATTCAAGGGTTTTTCTTTATTTTGACTTTCTTCCATTGTAGAATAATAGTGAATACATCAAAACTATGCGTCTGCTAAATGGCATATTATTATATTATTAGTGCAGGGTTGATACTTCACTAGGGGAGGGGTGAGGAATGTCAGAGTTCCTAATATGTATTCCGTACACCTGTGTACCATGCTAATCTCAGCAGTCACACGATTATGGCTGAGAAAAATATCCTGCTGTAGCATATTAAAAATATACTTTATTCTGGAAATATCGTGACTTTATTCTCTAAATATTGCAACTTTATTCACAATTGTATTTTTACTTTATTCCAAATTAATTTTTTAGAATATTCTCCACACAAAAAACATACCACCACCCATCACCATTCATTGATTTTTTTCTCTTCACTTTGCCATAATACTCTTCTGTAAAATAAGATCGTAACCATAATGTGTAAGAGGGTGAAATCTATACATTCCCATTTTAAAGCCTCCCTGAAAGTCTAAGTGCGTCTTACTGTATCGTTTGGGCCCGTCCTCCAGACAAAAGGTGATGGTGAGCATGGCATCATCCTCAAAGAACTCTGTGGTGAAGGCATCCCACCAGAGATTGTCACAGTCCTACAACACACAATGAATTAATACATCTGCCATCACAGGTTGTCAGAGTCTTACAAGATCATAGTAGGGTCACACCATTAGGAATAATTGAGTGTGTGCGTTTCGGGCTCTCACCTCTGTCCAGTTCTGTAGCCGCTTGTTGAGCTCAAATATCCTGTAGTCTGTCTGGTTGCCGTATGGTGTGGGTCTCCTGCAACAGGACAGAGCAGGGTCAGTATACAACTTTATTTTCAGAGTTAAAAGTTATGCTCCAACACTATTTGGAGGGGTGAGGGTTGATGCTGTGATGGAGACTCACCCCATGCCAGGCTCTAGGTATGACGGGGGGTACATTGGTGTTGGCCTGCAGAGACAGACAGGCGAGAGTCAAAATGTATTATTATAATTACATAGGTACTAATAGTACCAACCTACAGTACTAACAGTATGAGCTAAGTGGCAGGTGTGTGTGTGTGTGTCCTACCCCACGTCTCTGTCCAGCATGGTGCCGGGGTGGAAGGGGGGGAAGGCACTGCCGTTAGGGCCGGGCTCCTTGGGGGAGTACAGCTTGAACGACTTAGATGAACAGCCTAGAGAGAGACGGAGAGGAAAAAGAAGATTGAGCGACTTGGAAGATAGGCTAACAGCCTGAGGCTCTGTACACAGCAAAAAATTACTCAAAGTCGACCAATGAATTGCAGCCTCACACCAACACGCCCCACGATTGAGTCAGACAGAGCCAGCAAGCCATAAGAGAAGACTGCTAAAAAGCCATAAGAATGCTAAATAGTTACTAAATGGTTCCATTGCATTGACCCCATCTTGCACTGACTATGCACACTCACAAGACTATATATACACACACTATATACACAGACACTCACACAAACCCTACACACATTGACGGACACAACCATCATATGCTGCTGCTACTCTGTTCTTTATTCTTACTCGTATTATTATCATCATCATCATCATCTATTGTGATTAGGGTTGAACGGCGGGAACCTGAGATTTATCGTACCAAAACCACTCCCTTTTCCCAGGATAAATACCTGTGAGAAACCAGTAAATTATAAGAAATTATTTATATGAACAGCATGACGTGAAATGGAACTGTTAAATTATATGCGATGTCTAAATCTGGCTTCTCTACGGCCTTCTCTCTGCATGATCAATCAAAGAACGCCACAGGAATGGAAGACCCAGAGTCACCTCTGCTGAAGAGGATAAGTTCATTAGAGTTACCAGCCTCAGAAATTGCAGCCCAAATAAACGCTTCAGAGTTCAAGTAACAGACATCTCAACATCAACTGCATGAATCAGGCCTTCATGGTTGAAATGCTGCAAAGAAACAACTACTAAAGGACACCAATAAGAATAAGATACTTGCTTGGGCCAAGAAACACAAGCAATGGACATTAGACCGGTGGAAATCTGTCCTTTGGTCTGGAGATCTTTGGTTCAAACCGCTGTGTCTTTGTGAGACGCAGAGTAAGTGAACGGATGATCTCCGCATGTGTGCTTCCCACCGTGAAGCATGGAGGTGGTGTTATGGTGTGGTTTATTTAGAATTCAAGGCACACTTCACCAGCATGGCTACCACAGCATTCTGCAGCGATACGCCATCCCATCTGGTTTGCACTTAGTGGGACTAATTTGTTTTTCAACAGGACAATGACCCAACACACATCCAGCCTGTGTAAGGGCAATTTGACCAAGAAGGAGAGTGATGGAGTGCTGCATTAGATTACCTGGCATCCACAATCACCAGACCTCAACCCAATTGAGAGGGTTTGGGATGAGTTGGACCGCAGAGTTCGATTCCAGGCTGTATCACAACCGGCCGTGATTGGGAGTCCCATAGGGCGGCGCACAATTGGCCCAGCATCGTCCGGGTTTGGCCGGTGTAGGCCGTCATTGTAAATAAGAATTTGTTCTTAACTGACTTGCCTAGTTAAATAAAGGTAAAATAAAATAAATAAATAAAGAGTGAAGGAAAAGCAGCCAATAAGTGCTCAGCATATGTGGGAACTCGTGAAGAGAAGTGAAAGCCGTCTGCATCTAATTCTAGTCCTATATTATGCAAGCATGTCATTACAATGATGAAGCAGGACAACAAAACGTATTTCATTTCAAAGCGAGGAAGGAATGAAGAATTAATGGAGCGAGAAAGAGGAGGTAGGCTAATAACATTAGGGGAAATACAGTATTAGAAAAAGGTATGAGTTAGCCTACTAAATTATACAAATTGGCCCTATTATATTTCAAAATTAAAATCAAATTCGCTAGCCTATACTTGTAACTTTGTAGGCTGCATGTGCTGCACCAGAATTGCATGTTCTCTCCCAACTTTATCATGATTTGAAGGAGGTGCGTAATTCCAGGCTAAATAATACAAAAACAGTAATAAAGTTCACACTCAAAGATTAGCCTACTGGAGCTAGTTTAATTTATTTACCCAAGAGAGCATATAGCTAGCTACATCTATGGGCTTTTATGTTTTTATGTTGTGTGGTAGCCTATATATCATATGTATTGGATAACGGCACAATCGTTTAGGCTTTTTTGGGCTTGGGCTCATAAAATGTCTTTAACGTAGGGCTTATAAAATGTATTTATTGTATGGCTTATCAGGCTTAGGTAGCATCAGACTTGAATTTTCGGTCAAATCTCTAATCAAATCCAGACATAGGCCTATTTATATGCTTTTGAATTACACTTCTGGTTTTGGCAGGAAATACCAGGTAACCCGGGAGAAAAGTGATTTATTTATGGGACATTTGTAAAATACCAGGAAAATATTCAACCCTAATTCTGATGCCTAGTCACTTTACCATGCCTTTATGTACATATCTGCCTCAAACACCTCGTACCCCTGCACATTGATCTGGTACTGGTACTCCCTGTATATAGCTTCATAATTGTGTATTTTATTCCTTGTGTTACTATTTTATTTTTACTCTGCATCGTTGGGAAGGGCTCGCAAGCAAGCATTTCACGGTAAAGTCTACACCCGTTGTATTTGACAAAATTTGATTTGACCAGTTCATTTATTTCCATCCTTGTTTTTGCCACTCCGTCTGTGAATGTAGGCTATTAGACATGTGGATCTATCATCTTATTTACATTAGTTTAGCAGGTAGGTTGACTGAAATAATATTCATTTACAGCATATTTCAGAGTACAGATGAGAACATTTGTAATTTAAAAATGGGACACTTCTCTCTATCATAGGGCTGGCTAGGTTACAGTTAGCTACTGTACTAGCAAGTAGCAACATCTATCGACTAGCCTAGATCCTCTTTGTCCCTAACCCATTATGGGAAAGATCCCCTCTTGCATACAGCGGCCTAAAATCATGTGATCAAAGTCCTGTTGTGTGTGTGTGTGTGTGTGTGCTGTGTCCTGCCCATCCCCCACCCTCCCTCTAGCTTTCTGCGATGTTAACCCTCTCCTGCCCAGAGGATACGTGCATGCTGAAACAACACTCTGGCCTATTTTTTAAAAAACACTGCTGTAACTAAACACCCCAACTAGGCCACAAGTCTGTCTAATGAACATTTTATGGACAATGAACCTTGCTTCTAGTCTCAATCTGTATTCAATAACAAAGGTAAAATTGTAGGATGGAATATAGGGTGATTCCAGCGTTATGGACATTACATTTGCAAACAAAATCACAACTTTAATGTCTTACAGAATGGACAAATAAGATATAAATGAAACATTTGACGTGTGTTCGCCTTGGGGGGAGTGTATACCCATTAAAGCAGACTTCTAAATATTGACATGTTGGAGAAAAGCAAATAAGAAGTGTTATGGATGTTTTTTGGGGAGACTGAACATATTAGCAAAGTCTGAGTTTAAGTCCTAGGTCAAAACATATTTTAATTTAGAAGGAAAGGCTTTACACACTTTTATTTTTTTAAAGTACATTTAGAATTTTGGGTGTAGTTACCCTTTAGTGCAAGTGCACACCAACCAGAGAGTGTTGGTTAGCGGTGTTTCTGTACCGCTCATGTGATTGCACAGTTTGTGAAACAAATGGCCACTGGATTGATGCAAATACTCATATCATTTTGCCAGGTAGGCATAGGCTACTTTGCAGTTAACATTTAATTTAAAAGGTTTTTGGGAAAGCCTTTACATCTACCAGGAGACAGTTATCATTAATGCAAATACAAAGTGTAGACTAGACATATGCACACAGACAAGGGCATTCCTGTGCTGTTTCAGAAGGAGTATTTATGTCTGTAATAAAGCCCTTTGTGGGGAATAAAGCCTGTGTGTGTGCAATAAATAAATATATAACACAAACGGTCAAAAGTTTTAGAACACCTACTCATTCAAGGGTTCTCTTTATTTTTACTATTTTCTACATTGTAGAATAATAGTGTTAGACATCAAAACCATGAAATAACACATATGGAATCATGTAGTAACCCAGAAAGTGTTAAACAAATCAAAATATATTTGAGATTCTTCAAATAGCCACCCTTTGCCTTGATGACAGCTTTGCACACTTGGCATTCTCTCAACCAGCTTCACCTGGAATGCTTTTCCAACAGTTTTGAAGGAGTTCCCACATATGCTTAGCACTTGTTGGCTGCTTTTTCTTCACTCTGCGGTCTGACTCATCCCAAACCATCCCAATTTGGTTGAAGTCGGGGGATTGTGGAGGCCAGGTCATCTGATGCAGCACTCCATCACTCTCGTTCTTGGTCAAATAGCCCTTACACAGCCTGGAGGTTTGTTGGTTCATTCTTCTGTTGAAAAACAAATTATAGTCCCACTAAGCCCAAACCAGATGGGAAGGCGTATCGCTGCAGAATGCTGTGGTAGCCATGCTGGTTAAGTGTGCCTTGAATTCTAAATAAATCACAGACAGTGTCACCAGCGAAGCACCCCCACACCACCTCCTCCATGCTTCATGGTGGGAACCACACATGCAGAGATCCGTTCACCCACACCGCGTCTCACAAAGACACGGCGGTTTGAACCAAAAATCTCAAATTTGGACTCCAGACCAAAGGACACATTTCCACCGGTCTAATGTCCATTGCTCGTGTTTCTTGGCCCAAGTAGGTCTCTTCTTCTTATTGGTGTCCTTTAGTAGTGGTTTCTTTGCAGCAATTCGACCATGAAGGCCTGATTCACGCAGTCTCCTCTGAACAGTTGATATTGTAACCAAATATGCAAATGAGACAATACACATGTGCCTATACTGCCAATCCACTTTTCTGGATATTGGATGAAGCCAGTATATTTTTTGGGGGGGGCTTTCATTTGAATAAATACACTCCAGGACTATTCACAGAGAACGATGAGAAGAGTGTTTATCAACAATACAAATAAAGTACTGCCATGTATGAGAAATGAATTTCAGCCTCTTTTTTACAAGAGAATCTTAGCTAGAACATAAGTGTCTAGATGATCAACAATTGCTACAGTAAAAGTCTGAATAATGCATGTCAGAACAAACTGTGGTGAATGCAAAAGCTTTTGAAGCGAAGATATGATACATTAATATTCATCACATCCACAACTATTATTGACTTTACTGATAACACTGAAAAAGGAAACTGACAAAAAATAAAGAAACCAATTATAGACCATATAAAACATTGATGAAAGCTAGCTTTACAGACAGAGAATGTTTCAAGATGATCCGATGTAAGATGCATGTTTTACAAAAACGTTTCCTAAAAAACTTAATGGATGGTTAATTGCATGTCCCAGTCACCCCGCTATCATTACAAGACTGTTCAAACAAAACTGAAGACACTTCAATTTGGTCTGTATTGCTTCATTAACATCTCATCTTCATAACTAATACTGGGGGGCAGCTGTGAGTGGAAAAACAAGCTCTGGTCAGCCCTTTCTAAAATACATTAAATATGATTGACTGGAAAGCCTTTGAGACTTGGCCACCTACTCTGTAATGGCCAAAATTCATGCAATTACTTTACAATTTTGTGTCTCTGCTTGCAATTTGAAGGTAGTTGCTAACTAGCAGTATCACAAGTGCTAACTAGTGTTAGCGCAAGGACTGGAAGTCTATAGTAACTGCTAGCATGGTAGTAGATACATTTACATTTCATTCAGAAATGACTATTTGGGCATGCGCTGATTTATTTTTTACATGGAATCGCCCAATATTAGAAATATTGTCTGTGGCCTGCTTTGTCAACAACAGGGGGTTAGAGAGAGATTAGAGAGGGAGAGATGGGGCAGAGAGAGATGGCCCTAGGGCTATGCAGCCTACACTGTCCTGAGCTGCATGCACTCCTTCCGCTCTAGTGCACAACTCAGCCAGCCCAGGTCATTATCACAAAGGGGGAAAACAATTAATAGCCTAGTACTAGTCTCCACAACAACTCTGATATGCCCCTACAGCAGAATCCTGCATCTCACCAATAAATAATTGTTGGAGGCATAACATTACCACTCCTCATCCCCCCACAGCCCCTTCCAAAAACACACTCAAATCATACCCCCCCCTCGTTTGACTGCACCCCAGAGAGGCTAACTCTCTCCTCCCCCTCAATACAGGGGTGACCCCGGCCCTGCTCTACAGGATTAACAGCAGTTCTATAGGCATGTCCTTTGACCTAGCAGCAATCCCAACCCTAAGAACACCAGACATCAGGCCCTGACAGACATCCCCCTCTATTCACTCAGCCTTTCTCTAGGCTACCCAGGTACATCATACTACAGAACTCATTGATCATCCTACAATCAATTTTTAAAAAACACTTGTCCTCACACAGACTGGCTTCAACCTCTGCATATAGGGTAAATCCATATGAATTCAATCACTTTTTGACAGCATCCCTTTTGATTTAAACAACATTTTGCATACGTTTGCCCATGGAAGAAGTGGTCGAAAAGATAGAGGTGCTCAAAGTTTACCTATTTTGCACACCCCACCATACCATGGGCCTCCCGAGTGGCGCAGCGGTCTACGGCACTGCATCTCAGTGCTTGAGGCGTCACTACAGACCCCCTGGTTCGATTCCAGGCTGTATCACAACCGGCCATGATTGGGAGTCCCATAGGGCGGCGCACAATTGGCCCAGCGTCGTCCGGGTTTGGCCGGTGTAAGCCGTCATTGTAAATAAGAATTTGTTCTTTACCGACTTGCCTAGTTAAATAAAGGTTAAATAAATAAAAATAAGAGATCCATGTCTTCATCAATGGAAAAGATAAGCGGTTTAGTTTGATATCACTTAAAAGCTTACAAACAGGGTTGTCAAACTATTTTATAAATTGTGTTATTTTTTGTTGAATACAAAAAATTAACTATCAATTATCTAAAAACGCATCAACTCCGATGTTGTTCATATTCACATATACTGAACAAAAACGTGTTGGTCTCATTTAAAGTGTTGGTTGAGAATAGAATGGATATGAAGTCTGTGATCCACTCACCCTACTTTGGGGTTAATCCTAGTTCTCATAATGGAGGAGGGGGTCCTTGTCTATATGACAGATGGCAATGGATGACATCGGTTCCCAAACTTCCAGAGGTCTGGGGCAGCAGCATTAGAGCTGACCCCATTTGTTTGGTCGATAGGCTGTTGGTCGACCGAGATTTCTTTAGTCGAGCAGTCGCAAATATATATATTTTCTTCATGGTGCGCGTGCTACTGAAATTGTCAATTATTAAATTATATAAGAATAATGGTGCAACCCTAATGCTCTTTCTCCCACGATGGATAGCAGTCGCTGTCCGCGGTTCTGAAGCGTAATCTTCAGTGCGCAGTTGAATTGGCGCCTTTATATGTTGCTATGTGCATAATAGCGAAGTTAACCAGCATATTGGTGTTGGGAACAATGCTGCGGAGGCAGCAGCGTAGGTGTTGTTTACACTGTTCCAAATGGGGAGAAAATAATATTGTAATCTAACAGCACCTGTTTGTGTCACATAACATGCTGACAGCTCACGCTCCTATACCCTGCTTTTTCTTGATCTCTTTGTTATTATTATAATAATGATCATCATAATAAGTAATGTCATTATCATTAGTAGGCTTCTTATAGTAGTAGCCTCGTATAACCACCATTGAGCTGTAGGCCTAAGAGCGCGTCCTGTTTAGTCTTAATATCGCAACTTACTTAGGTCTATATTTCAATATATAGGCTACTGTATCAATGAATAAATCATTTGTTCATGTCATCACACAGCATATGAGTGAGTCATTCATGCTTTGAAATGCAATCAAGCATTTTAGTTTTAAATGAAATAAAAGGGAGATTTGGATAATTAGCCTAAACAACAAATAAAGCGCAATTCACAAATACATACAACTGTTTTTAGTCTTCGCTGTAAAGGCTTTATATATTTTTCTTCTTCAATTAGAACAGACTACATTTATCATTTATTTAATGTCGTTTACATGGTTCCAAATGGTCACAAAAAAGAATACTGTAATCTAACAGCACCTGTTTGGCACACATTACTCACACAGCGCTTGCTCCTATACCCTCCTTTTTCTTGATCTCTTTACACAACTAACTAACATGTCTTCCACACATCTGACATCCCCTTTTCCCTCCTGAGCAACCAGCAAACATTCCCCCGTTTCGAGTTTATTTTTTTCACGTCCTCGCATCCATTTTGCAGTCACGTGTTATGGTGTTCGGAGTTTGTTATAACCAATTTACTGATGTGATTATGATAGGCTATAGATCAGGCCCTATTTGTCACGTGCATGCAATGCTTACATACTTCACGTAAAGAGGGAATAGGGAATGTTTTCCTAAACAAATAAGGTATTTCGTTAACATAACTTTTCTGTCAGAGAAACAAGTAAGAAACAAAATGGCTGTAATTATGTTGCAGCTTCAGCAGGGACAGCGCGATAAACCCTTACTGTGCTTTGGTGCCTGTTTGCTGCATCAGGGAGAGAGAACATTCCGCAGTCACACTCGCTGTAATTTTTCTAACACATCGTGCTCCCTCAAGTCATTTGTGTGTCTTTATTATTTCATCAAACCGTGTGCTTAAAGCATCAGACAAGCTCAGTGCATATACACTGAACAAAAATATAAAATGCAACATGCAATAATTACAAAGATTTTACTGAGTTACAGTTCATATAAGGAAATCAGTCAATTGAAATAAATTAATTAGGCCCTAATCTATGGATTTCACATGACTGGGCAGGGGTGCAGCCATGGGTGGGCATAGGCCTACCCACTTCGCAGCCAGGCCCAGCCTATCAGAATGTGTTTTTCCCCACAAAAGGGCTTTATTACAGACAGAAATACTCCTCAGCCCCCCTACCCAGACGATCCCACAGGTGAAGAACCGGATGTGGAAGTCCTGGGCTGGCGTGGTTACACGTGGTCTGTGGTTGTGACACCAGTTGGACGTACTGCCAAATTCTTTAAAACAACGTTGGAGGCAGCTTATGGTAGAGAAATGAACATTAAATTCTCTGGCAACCGATCTGGTGGACATTCCTGCAGTCAGCGTGCCAACTGCACGCACCCTCAAAACCTGAGACATCTGTGGCATTGTGTTATGTGACAAAACTGCACATTTTAAAGTGGCCTTTTATTGTCCTCAGCACAAGGTGCACCTGTGTAATGATGGGGTAGGGTAGAAGGATTACTTTTATCCTATCCCAGGTATTCCTTAAAGAGGTGGGGTTTCAAGTGTCTCCGGAAGGTGGTGAGTGACTCCGCTGTCCTGGCGTCGTGAGGGAGCTTGTTCCACCATTGGGGTGCCAGAGCAGCGAACAGTTTTGACTGGGCTGAACGGGAACTCTGCTTCCGCAGAGGTAGGGGGGCCAATATATAGACACATAGGGTGTCTATATATTGGAAAAATACAGAGCTAAAAATTGACCCATCGACTGGTCGAAAGAACGACCAAGATTTTTTTTGTCTGGGATTTGACTATGCAGCATAGAGTCAAATCAAATGTTATTGATCGCGTACACATATTTTGCAGATGTTATCACGGGTGTAGCTAAATGTTTATGTTCCTAGCTCCAACAGTGCAGTAATACATAACAATACATGCAAATCCCCAAAAATGTAGAAAGAGCAATGTCAGAGTCCAGAATATGTATGTAGATGATGATGTGTATATACATTATGGACAGTACATGAATAGAAAAGGTGTGTACAGCAGTAGTTATATAGGATGAGCCTGGACTAGAATACAGTATATACGTATGAAGTGTGTAAAACACTCAAAACACTCTGTCTGGAGATGGCCCATATATAGAGGGGGAGAGAGACAACCTCTCCCCTATTCTCCAGATGATAGCCTGTATATGTATGCTATCTTGGAGTGGGGTGAAGTTACCCCTACTACAGAAACTGATCTAAGGTCTGCTTTGAATGTTCCCTTCAACGGGATTTGAGGAGGATGAGCTGATCCTATATCTGTAACGTTAGGCTGGGCCTACATGACAATTTCCCTAGCCCTACAGATATGATTGGAGATGGAGGATTAACACTCCCCTGGTGCTTTTCCACTGAGTGTTTAATGTTAATTAAAGCTCAAGTGTAATTATGTTTCCATCAGGTGTGTGACACTAAGGACTTCGGGCAAGCATAATCAACAACCTATGCATCATTCAAGACAGTTGTTTTGTAAGGTGTAAAAGTAAACATGTAGCCATTGTATGTAAATGAAAACAAAAAAGTACCCAGGACCTGGGCTTGGCACCAAGTCTGGGCAGGTCCGCCGGAGCCTTGCATGGCCCAGGGAGACACAGGTGACGGCCATGAAAGTCTGAGCCTTTTGGGTAAAACCTCATTGGAAATACACCATCCATGTTTTGCTATGGAGACGGTGTCACACAACTACATAATCTAAAACTACCATGGTTAGAACGAGAATTTAATCCCCCAAAATCGTCCATTGATTTGAGGATTAAAAAAGAAACAGAAAGACAGCATAAGCATATCGTTAGCATAAAAGACAAAGGAAGTCACAGAGCTGAGAAACTATATAGCAGCCAACTAAATGGTGAATTCCTCATTCATTGTCTTGATTAAAACTAATGAATGAGATTAGCTGAACAAAGGTTTGACGGATGCTGATGACAAGCTAGCTACAACAACAGCAAGATTGTCTGTTGACCTGTGTGGCAGTGCATAGCTAAATGGCGTTAGCCAATGTGTTAAACTAGCTAGCTATAACGTTAATTAGCTGCACGGACCACACTCGAAATGTACATAATAATAATGAATTGCTACAGAAAATTGCAGCAAGGCAAAATAGTAACTAGTAGAGTTAATTGCTAACTTGAATCCACCATACCTGCACAGAATGGTTCACCGAAACGCGGTGTTTTCCAACAGCAACCGCACTGATCGGTATTAGCAGGCTAGCTTGGATGCTAGCTGTCCCAATTTGGAGCAGCTTCAGCGCAGTCGTTATTTCCGTTTTCCTCTCCGAAACAAAACGAAAAGTGAAGCGAATTAATACTTCCTCTGTGTCGTTAATTTTGCACCTACAAAGTAGCGTTTTTTTAAGCAACCCAGATGTTGAAAAGTGGGGATCTAACTAGCTAGCGATTGAGCCAAACCCTTTGTTCCTAGCCAGACGCGAACAATGGCCCCCGTCTCTGCCCTCGCGTCTTTCCTCTCTGCTTGCGTAAACGTTCCCGCTGCAGAATGGGCTCCCCCAACCGTGTTCAATCGAACCGTAATCCGCCTTTACAACACCCTCCCCCTCATATTCACATCCTAATAGCTAACGTTATGT